CTCCTTGAGAAGAAATAACTAGTTTGGGAGGTATAAGGTGGGGAGTTATGTCAGGTCTTTATCAAGAAGATCATACGTAAGCTATATAGGTTGAGGGAAGATACCAGAGTAGGCAAGCAAGTTTTCCGTTAAGGATGCTGACAAATTCAGCCAGTAAAATTGTTTATTACTTACATAGACAACAAATGTAGGATCACCATGGTGTTAGCTCCTTGTGTCTATTGTCTCACTGGGTAACACTGAAACCAAAGAGGCCAGACAATCACAGGCAACATGAGTGGTAGGGTACCCTGTGGCTGAGGAACAGTGGCCATATGAGGAGAATATATGGAGGTGGGTTAAAAATAGCTTTGTTAGCAGCACCTCCCAAGACTGCCTGTATTTCTGTATTCTGGAGGACCATTCTTCCGGGGCTCAGGTCAGCCTGCGGTTGAGCCTTGCCTTGTGTGAGCTAGGTGGAGACATGTAAGGTTGCCAGTGCCTCAGTTCAGAGCAGTTCTTCTACATTATCCATGGTAAAGGAGAAATGACAGGGTGAATTAGAACAAAAGCATGAAAAGAAAAGTGTTACAAGCAATAGTTTCAAGTATAGAAATTTGTGTTCTGTTGATCTTAGGATAAGCAGCCTATTTCTATAAAGTTGTCTGCTTCTGGAATGTAAAGGCATCCTTGACATCCTGACAGTCACTTGGTACCTTCTGAGAAATGTCTTTTTTCTGGTGATCATGTCATCTTTTCCCAGGATGCTTGTATTTATGAGTAATATCTTTGTAATACCATCTATCAGGAGTACTTGTATAGTATTTTATTGAGGCTTTTATGTTTCTTCCAGAAGACTCAGTTTCTGATCTATAGCTTGTAACAGGAGCCTTTAGGCAAGCATAAAGAAAAAGCAGAAACTACCTGTGGAGGTAAGACTGAATGGTTCAGGTTAAGTTGTTTTAATAGCAACAATATCAGAATGGGGAGAAGTAGAGTCCTTTATGAAGCAGATCAATTTATAAGGATTTAGTGAAATATACCTCAGAATAAGAACATATCATGAATATTGAGGGCATTGAGCCATTTCAGAGTTTTTAATTAATACCACTGTGTGTTATGATTTTCTCCAGTTGTCTGCAATGTAGATATTTAAACCTAGAGATAAAATCTTTTAAAACTTAATTATTTTTTAAAATAACAGCTTTATTGAAATAAAATTCACCTTTTTAAAGTATACAACTCATTGGCTTTTAGGATATTCAGAGTTGTGCAATCATTACCACTCTCTAATTTTAGAACTTTTTTTTTTTAGAACATTTTCATCACTCCAAAAAGAAAAACCCCATGACCATTGACAGTCAATCCTCATTCCTCCCTCTGATCTACCTGGCAATCCCTAATCTACTTTCTGTCTCTATGGATTTGCCTAAGAGATAGATTCTTTTAAAAATAACAACTGAACAGTTGTTTACATGTCCATAAACATGAATATGCCTCTTCCTCAAAAGGATATAATCACTCTATTATTTTACATTAATGAAAAGTCATCCATATAGAATTGAACTGAGAGCCTCTCTTTTTGATTTATTAAATTTAAAAAAGTGTTTTGGGTTTAGTAAAAAACAGCTTTCATAATGGTGTTGAGCTAATTCAAAATCTAGAGAATGCTAAGCACTCTTAATTATATTATTTCTTCTTGTTTTTTATTTTTCACAGAGCTAAATTAGTATCTGATACATTAGTAGGTGCTCAATCAAGATAGCTTTATTTTGTTTTGGTGACAGAACTGGCTTTAGAAGCCAGCTGTCCTCCCTGGAAGTCTCCTCTTCCATCATGCCATACATGCTTTCCATTTGTGCCCAAAGCTGATTTTTGTAAAGCATTTGTAAACAGTTCATGGAAATGGGGATCAATGTTCTTTATTTCCTTTTTCTATCCTATTTCTTGTAAACATACACAGATTTAAATTCACAAGTTTAAGTTTGTTGTGTGAATGCTAAAATGGTAAATAGTCTAAGGGAGAAGAAAGAAAAGTAAAATACCTTTCATTTCTTTTTGTCTAATGACAAATATAAGCACCCCATATTTCACAGTTAAAGAATTTATGTAAAGTAGGACATAAATTCATAGGCAGCATTTTTAACTTAAATACTTAGGTTAAATAGCTCCAGTCAAAATGTTAAGTATGAATTAGTGATTTTAAGATATAAAAAGATTTATGCTTTAAGGAGCTCAAGTTGGAAGAGAAGGGTGGTAAAAGAAAAGGTGAATGTCTGTAGGTTTTTTTGGTGCTGTTTAAATTTTGTTATGGTGTAAGTATAGGCAGTAAAGTACACAATTCGTAAATGTACAACTTGATGAATTTTTTACACATAAGTATGTATATATAATGATCACCACACAGATCAATATACAAAATATTTCAACACCCCAGAAGATTCCTTAGTACTCCTTTTTTGTCAGTTACAACCCTCCAAGAGGTAATCACTATTTTGACTTCTGTCACAATAGGTTAGTTTTGCCTCTTCTTGAAATACATATAAATGGAATCAAATAATACTCTCTTGTGTCTAGCTTCTTTTACTCATAATTGTGTCTATAAGATTCATCCATATTGTGTGTAGCAGTGGCTATTTTTTTTGCTTTATAGTATTTCATTATATAAATAAAGCACAATTTATCTGTTCACCTGTTGATGGTGATTTGGGCTAACAGTTTTTTACTATTGTGACTAAAGTTGCAAAGAACATTCTTGTGCTTATCTTTTGGTGAATATATGCACTCATTTTTCTTGGCACTTCAGGTTTTGTAGTGTTATAAAAGTTCAGAACGTTTTTGTTAAAACAGCCAGAATGCCAACCCTGCCTCACAAGAAATTTTTAAGTCTGCCTAAATGGATATATACCTCTTTGATCTTATAATAGAAATTGGGGGAAAATAACATTGACTTCACTGCCAATTTTGGGTGGTATTGTGCCTGTTCTATAATGCAAGAGTTACGGATATTATACATTCATTCATTCAGTGAACAGTAGGGAACCATCCTAGGGGTTAGAGATACAGCTATGAAAGACGCAATCACATCCTACTTTCCCCAACCAATATGTTCAAGTTATTTGAACATAATGCATGGAGTGTAGTGATAAAGAAAGGAGAATTATTAGGACAGTACTTAGGGTGAAGCATCTCACCTAAACCTGGGTAGTCAGTGGAAGCATCTCAGAGGAAATGACATCTGACCTGGGTCCAATAGAACAAAATGGAATTAGCCAGGTGAAGGAAGTGGAGGGTGGGTGTTGAGAGGAGCGGACAATGAGAGTTTTTTTTTTTTTTTTTTTTTTTAAAGATTTTGTTTATTTTTGACAGAGAGTGCACAAGCAGGGGAAGCAGCAGGCAGAGGGAGAAGGAGAAGCAGGCTCCCTGCTCAGCAGGGAGCCTGGTGCAGGGCTCCATCCCAGGACCACCATGACCTGAGCCGAAGGCAGACGCTTAACTGTCTGAGCCACCCAGGCACCCCGACAATGAGAGTTTTTAAGGCAATGTTTAAAGCTTGGAGACGTGAGAAATTGAAAGTAGCTGGGAAGCAGGGACTCAATTATAAAGGGCCTTTTGGTAATATCACAGAGTTCTGATGTCATCCTCAGGTCAGAAAGGAATCACTGGTACTGTCCTTTTATTATGGAAGACTTCAAACACCTACACATCCCACAGTTTGAGCAATTACCAGCTCATGACCAATCTTGTTGATACCACTTCCTTCCTCCCCCAGTGGATAGTTCTGAAGCAAATTTGAGACATCACATCATCATTGAAGATTTTGAGCAGGAGAGTGACATGATCAGTTTTGCATTTTAGAAATCACATATCCCTAGTAACTTTAAAGTATCTTTGTAATGCACACACCATAGTTTGGTTGCTTCTCATTTGCTTCCAGTCATACAGACATTTGTCTTTCCGTACTATTTATAGCAGCTTGCATTTTTTCAAACTGTATGGAAACATGATTAAATGCCAAACTTATTTTATATACTTATCTTCTTATGTAGATAGATCATTGTTTAATTTGCCTTTAAAATACTATTAATGAATATTTTGGGTTGTATAAGTATAAAAAGGTCATAAACAATATAAAAGTTTGTTTCTAGTTTGGTCTCCATTATAGCAAACATATTAGTATTTGGAAAGTGGAATTCAATTTATGATTTTACTATGAATATTTTTTGCAGATTCAAGTTTAATTTATGATTCTTCTGTAGCTCAGGTTTTGCTCTTTATCTGCCTATTGAAATCTGTTTTCTTATTGAAGTTTACTTTGATGGTGAGAATTAATACAGATTACTTTTATTTTAAAGCTAATTATCATTGTTTACATGACACTAAGTTAAAAATTCCGTCCTGTAGTAAGAATGTTTACTTACTAAAATGTTTTAGTTTAACTTTTTTTTAAAAGGTGATTTAGTAGAAGGTAACTGCTGTAATACCATGGAATAACACTGCATTCATGCATACATTCATTCATTTGGTGAGCGTCAGTGATCTTTTTTTTTTTTTAAAGATTTTATTTATTTATTTGAGAGAGAGAGTCAGAGAGAGAGAGAGAGCACAAGAGGGAGGAGCGGGAGAGGGAGAAGCAGACTCCCTGCTGAGCAGGGAGCCTGTTGCGGGACTCGATCCAGGGACTCCAGGATCATGACCTGAGCCGAAGGCAGTCGCTTAACCAACTGAGCCCGAGCGTCAGTGATCTTAATCCAAATCAGAGGTTGGCAAATTTTTGCTGCTAAGACTGGTTCTTACATTTTTGAAGGATTGTTCCCCAAAAAGGGAGAAGAATTTGCAACAGAAACCGTATGTGGCCTGTAAATATACTACCTGGCCCTTTACAGGAGAAGTTTGCCATCCCTGATCTAAATGAATATAACCTAAATTCTTGGCATGTGCTTTTTTTTCTTTTGGAAATGTTTTTATAAGACTCATTTTTGAATAACATTTGAAAATAAAAATGTCATTGTTTTCTACAGAGAAGATGGCGAATTAGAAGATGGTGAAATAGATGATGCAGGACTTGAAGAAACACAAGAACAGGAAGCAAAAGAGGATGAAAAACAGAAAAATGAAAAAGCCTATAGAAAATCAAGGAAAAAACACAAGAAAGAAAGAGAGAAGAAAAAATCCAAAAGGAGAAAACGTGAAAAACATAAGGTTAGCTAGAATCTACTTTGAATTCTTTTAGTAAATTTGTATGAAATATAAAATACTGAAAATTAGAAAGTATAAATTATTGCTTATTTTATTATAAAACATTGTTTAGAGGGGTGCCTGGGTGTCTCAGTCAGTTAAGTGTGTGACTGGATTTCAGCTCAGGTCATGATCTTGGGGCGTGAGATTGAGCCCTGTGTCAGGCTTCTCACTGGGCATGGAGCCTGCTTAAGATTCTCTCTCTCCCTCTGCCCTTCCACCCCCCAAAAAACAACTTGTTGATTAGATATTTTTATTTATGTGATTAATTTTCTGAACATAAAAATTATATGAATTATCTCAAAAATTTAAAAATTAATCAAGGTAACTTTTAATGCAAGTTAAAATAAATCTTTTATTTTTAAAGATTTTATTTATTTATTTGTCAGAGAGAGAGCGCAAGCAGGGGGAGCTGCAGGCAGAGGGAGAAGCAGGCTCCTCGCTGGGCAAGGACCCCGATGCAGGACTCGATTCCAGGACCCTGGGATCATGACCTGAGCTGAAGGCAGACGTTTAACTGACTGAGCCACCCAGGCATCCCTAAAATAAATCTTTTTAACTAATGGAATTATATGCAAGAATGATAAAAGGTTAAAGAAAGTTTTATTCTCTACCGATATAGATTAGTAGCATTGGCATTGTCTGTTTATTTATTCATTCATATGTATTTTCATGTGCTTGTTATGGAAATCTCTGTGCCCTATGCTAGGGTTATAGTAATGAGTGAAACAGTCTCTAACAGAGATTACATTGAAATGGGAAAGAGAAGGCAATAAACAAATGAAAAACAAATGTCATCAAGAAAAAAAAGTAGGGGGCGCCTGGGTGGCTCAGTTGGTTAGGCGACTGCCTTCGGCTCAGGTCATGATCCTGGAGTCCCTGGATCGAGTCCCGCATCGGGCTCCCTGCTTGGCGGGGAGTCTGCTTCTCCCTCTGACCCCCCCCCCTCATGTGCTCTCTCTCTCTGTCAAATAAATAAATAAAATCTTTAAAAAAAAAAAAAAAAGTAGGGTGCTGCATAGAGAATAATGTAGTTTGGGATAGGGAAGAAGGGACATCTCTCTGACAGAGAACTCAGGGGAAAGTTGGCATCTGTGGTGGGGTAGTTTTTGAAACTCCCCTGTAAAAATAGAGCAATAAGGATAGCAAAATCAAAAACTCATTGGCAACATCTACCAAAAAATGAAGTAACAAGTTATTCCCACAAACCTTAAAAACATAAATGGATAAGGCCAAACCATAGACAGCACCAAGACCTGTATAGGATCAGCAACTGTGCATACTGAGGCAGAGGGAAGGTAATGGGACTTCCAGAAAACAAATTGCCAACAGGTACTCCTCTCAGATGGAGGAGTTCTGACTCCATGTGGAAAGTCCATGGACCAGTCTGAGAACAGCAGCAGAAAATGAGAGGAAACTTTACTAGTTTCAATTCACATGTGAATGTAAAGTGACCACATGAATTTGGATGGTGCTTGAATGGTCTGGGCCTGATGAACTCCTGATACTAATCAACCAAATCCCTCTTCTCAGACAGAGTCCCAACACTGAGAATATAACTGCTATCATTAGAATCTAAACTGAGGGGCGCCTGGGTGGCTCAGTCATTAAGCATCTGCCTTCGGCTCAGATCATGATCCCAGGGTCCTGAGATAGAGTCCCACATCGGGCTCCCTCCTCGGCGGGAAGCTTGCTCTCCCTCTCCCACTCCCGCTGCTGTGTTCCTGTTCTTGCTATCTCTGTCAAATAAATAAATAAAATCTTAAAAAAAAAAAAAAAAGAATCTAAACTGAAAGGACAAGCATACTAGGGCTGGGCAAGGAAAGAAATAGATTTAAAAATGAGGGAAGGGAGCAAGCAAAGCATATTTGAGAAGATACATAACCATATTTATTAATACTTCATGCAAACAATGGAAGAAATAACCCTAGAAAACAAGATAGGACCACGATCACATTCCACGTAAATTATTATTTTAAAAAAAAAAAAAAAGAGGGGCACCTGGGTGGCTCAGTCAGTTAAGCATCTCCCTTCGGCTTGGGTCATGAGCTCCAGGTCTTGGGATCGAGCCCTGAGCAGGCTCCCAGGCTCCCTCTGCCCCTTCAGCCTGCTTGTGCTCTCTCTCTTGCTCTAACTCAAAGAAATAAAAAAAAATCTTCAAAAAAAATTTTTTAAAAAGGGAATAATGGAGAGAATAATATTATTCCAGAAGAGAAATAATTCCCATAAAACATATAAAATATCTAACCTAATATTTCAAAATGATAAAAAAATTTAAGAAAGTAATAATAAGCTATGATCAAACAGCATAAATACAGTTTTGTAGGAAATATCCTTTGGTCATCTGGGCAAAAAGACGAAGTCCCTTATAGGAAAAGAGAATCAGGTTTATATAAAAATTTTTGATATAAATATTTTATGCCGGAAGATAATGGAATGACATATTTTTTTTAAAGATTTGATTTGAGAGAGAGTAGAGTGAGAGAGAGCACGAGTGGGGGGAGGAGCAGAGGGAGAGGGAGAAGCAGACTCTCCCACTGAGCAGGGAGCTCTACATGGGGCTTGATCCCAGGACCCTGGGATCATGGCCTGAGCCAAAGGCAGATGCTTAACCGACTGAGCCAGCCAGGCGCCCCTCGAATGACATATTTAAATAAGATGTGGGCCAAGAATTTTATATCCAGCTAAATACTGACCTTCTGATACAAAGTTGTCAAAAATATATATATGATAGAACTCAGGAAATATTGTTATCATGAGCCTTCCTGTAAACTCTACTAGAGAACAAGTTTAGATAACCAGAATGACTAGTTGAGAGAGAGGCATCTATATACACATACATATTTCCTTGTAAAACTAAGACTAAATGATGGATAAGAGGAGCAGTGTATTATGTATCTGAACATTACAACTATAAAAAATACCAGGAAAAGCAGAAGAGTATATGGCAAGCAGGATAAGCTTACTGATTGCCTTATAGTTATTAACTCAGAGTAAAAAGATGTTGCTTCACATTGTTATCCTGAGAATGAAAAAGAAAGGAGAAGAGGTTACTGCTGAACTTCAGTATTGGTCCTGTTAGTAAAGAAATAGTATGCAAAGAAGGGACAGGGACCAAGGTTATTGGAAAAAGGTTGTACAAAAGAAATAATGGAGGGACACCTGGGTGGCTCAGTTGGTTGAGCGTCTGACTCTTTTTTCTTTTTTTTAAAGATTTTATTTATTTGTCAGAGAGAGAGAGAGAGACTGAGCAAGCAGGGGGAGGGGAAGGCAGAGGAAGAAGCAGGCTCCCTGCTGAGCAAGGCCCCCAGTGTGGGACTCGATCCCAGGACCCTGGCATCATAACCTAAGCTGAAGGCAGATGTTTAATTGACTGAGCCACGCAGGCATCCCAAGTGTCCAACTCTTGATCTCAGCTCAGGTCTTGATCTCAGGGTCGTGAGTTCAAGCCCCATGTTGGGTTCCACTCTGGGAATGGAGCCTACGTATAAATAGATAGAAAGATACATACATACATACATACATAAATGCAAACCTTTCTAAATACCAAAAGGTATACTCCCCAACAATGCAAAATCCAACTCTAAGCTGTGTATAATAGAAAGATTTAAAAAATGGGTAAAGCTATGCAGGCAAATGCAAAGAAAGAAAAGGCAGAAGTCATAATGTTGTGGGGCACCTGGGTGGCTCAGATGGTTATGCATCTGCCTTCGGCTCAGGTCATGATCTTGGGGTCCTGGGATCAAGCCTTCCGTCGGGCTCCCTGCTCAGTGGGGAGTCTACTTATCCCTCTCCCTCTGCCCTTACCCCCTGCTCATGCTCTCTTTCTGTCTCTCTCTCTCAAACAAATAAATAAAATCTTAAAAAAAAAAAAAAGTCATAATGTTGATATCTGAAAAAGTCAAAATTAGGTCAAAATGGCATTGAAAGAAACAAGGATATTTTGTGATGTTAAAGGCTATAATTCACAATGAAGTATAAATTATTAATATTTTATATCCCCCAAAACAGCAACTTTTATAAAGCAAGAACTATAGGAACTGCAAGAAGAAATAGGAATACACTAATAACAGGAGATATACCAGTATGCCTCTCTTAACCCAAAGAGATCAATCAAGTGGATGAAAAGGTGGTTAGGATATTAAAGAGAGATTATGTATTGAGCTCTGAATCCTGAGAATACAGCTTCCTCTCATCTTTACGGCCATACAGTAGGCCTTATAAGCTCTAATTACTTTGATAGAGTGGAAGTGTTACAAAGAGCAATGTCAAACCACAATACAATAAAATTAGATATTACTAATAAAGATAAAAAACAAAATGTCTTTTTGCTTTGTAATTCAAATACCTGCTATAAATAGCCTGTGGAACACAGGGGAAACATTAAAACTGCAGAATTTCGTGAAAATGATAAAATCCCGATGTGTAAGTACCAACAGAATATAGCTGAAGCGGTTATCAGGAGAAAAATTAGAGTATTGCAGTATTTATTACTGCTATTATTGCTAGGCTAGAAAAGTAGCCAATCAAAACAAAAACAAAAAGGAAGGACTTTTAATTAAGTTACAAACAGAACTTAATGAACTAGAATGAAAAACCAGTAGTTATTAAAAAAAAGATCAACAATATATATAAATCATTAGCCAGACTAATCAAGAAAAAGGGGGCACCTGGCTGGCTCAGTGGGTGGAACATGAGACTCTTCATCTTGGGGTGTGAGTTTGAGCTCCATGTTGGGTGTGGAGCTTACTTAAGAAAAAAAGAAAAGAGGGCGCCTGGGTGGCTCAGTTGGTTAAGCGACTGCCTTCGGCTCAGGTCATGATCCCAGAGTCCTAGGCTCAAGCCCCACATCGGGCTCCCTGCTCTGTGGGAAGCCTGCTTCTCCCTCTCCCACTCCCCCTGCTTGTGTTCCTGCTCTCGCTGTCTCTGTCTCTGTCAAATAAATAAATAAAATCTTTAAAAAAAAAAAAAGAAGAAAAGAAAAAAGGGAAAAGCAAAAATAAAATTTGATATGTTGAAGCTAAGAACTTTCAAAACCATCAAGTCCCATCTCCTTTTTAACAGCCTTTTCTTTGTCTATCTTCTTTGGCAGATACATACTTTCAACATTTTTCTTGAAAATCTTAACTAGATCACTTAGTTCACTAGACACATTTTCTAGTTTCCATGTTACCGAATGTAGCTGTTTTTGTTCAACTTCCTGCCACTGCATAATGAGGATTTCCATTCTTCCAGTTTTAATAAGATATCCCACTTTCCTTTAAGTTGCCTCAAAGTTCAGAATTTTACTAACAGTAATTCAAGGCAACTTATTTATTTATTTATTTAAAGATTTATGTATTTGAGAGAGAGAGAGAGAGAGAGAGAGAGAGAGAGCACGAGTTGGGGGAGGGGCAAAGGGAGAGAGAGAAGCCCAAGCAGACTCCCTGCTGAGCATGGAGCCTGAACGCAGGGCTCGATCTCATGACCTATGAAATCATGACTCAAGAGAAAACCAAGAGTTGGTTGTCTAACCCATTTTTTTAATTATTATTTTTTGTATCTCTACACCCAGTATGGGGCTTGAACTCACGACCTGGAGATTAAGAGTTGCATACTCCACCAACTGAGCTAGCCAGGCACCCCTCATTTGAGTTAATTTAGACTTTCACAAATACTCTCCTTAAAGTCCTTCCAGTTTCTATCCACTGCCTGTTTCCAAAACCCCTCCTACCTTTTAGATATTTCTTGTGGAAGCACAGCATTTCCAGACACCAGAATCTCATTAGTTAACTGTTGCTGCACAACATTACCCCAAACTTAGAAACTTAAAAGAATAAAGATTGATTTCCCAGTTTTTGTGGGTCAGGAATATGGGTGCAGCTTAACCAGGTGATTCCGGCTCAGCTTTTCTCGTGGGGTTGCAGTCATCTCAAAGCTTGACTGAGGCGGTATTCTTTTCCATGTTCACTCACGTGGCTCTTGGCAGGCCTCAGTTCCTCACCGTGTGGACATCTCTACAGACTGCCTCAGTGTCCTCATGATGTTATCTGGCTTCCCCCAAAGCAGGGGAACCATGAGTGAGAGAGAACAAGAGAAAGCACCCAAGATGAAAGCTCTAGTCTTTTTTATAACCTAATCTCAGAAGTGATATACTATCTCTTCTGACCTATTTACTAGCTATTTTTAATATAGTCCAATTGCTAATTTCAGGTTAATAATTACTACTTTTTTTAAAGATTTAATTAATTAATTAATTAATTAATTTTAGAGAGAAAGAGCCCATACAAGAGCAGGGGGAGGGGCAGAGGGAGAGACAGAATCTCAAGCCGACTCCTCACTGAGCACGGAGCCCCATGTGGAACTCGATCTCACAACCCTGAGATCATGACCTGAGCCAAAACCAAGAGTTGGGACGCTTAGCCGACTGAGCTACCCAGGTGCCCCGTCACACATACATATTTTTTGATAATAGTCTTAATGGCTTCTTAAAGTCTATATATTTTTTTAGCCTCACTGTTTTGGAATAGTCTGAAGAAACTTCTCCCTTAAGCAGAACCTTCTCTTCTCTGGTGGTTTTTCCTGAAGCAGTTCAGTGTCTTCATTTGAGCTCTTCCTAATCAAGTCTTATCCCTTTAGTGATCTTCAAGTGAAAAGTTTTCCTTTGAGCTGGAGCTGACTTCTGCTAGAGACTTAGCAAACTTGGCTTCTGAATAGACAATGTTTAGGGGTGCCTGGCCAGCTCAGTTGGTAGTCATGAGTTCAAGCCCTGCGTTGGGCTTGGAGCCTACTTAAGAAAGAAAAAAGAAATGGGCAATATTTATTTCAAACCCTGACCAACAGATGTTAAATAAATAAGTTTGAAGCATTTCATAGCATAATTATAAAAATATTTCTTCATATCACCTATCAAATCAGCAAAAATAACACCACCACAAAACTAAACCTGAAAACATTTAAGAAGAAGTAGAGGAAAAGTTTGTCTTTCTTAAAAGAGCCTTTAAGAATGGAGGAAAACATCCTTCTGTGAAAATATCAGAGTTCAATTTAGTTCAGCAAATTTTTACTGAGTCAGTATTTTCACTGATAAGAACTTTAAGAAGTCTTTAAAAAGAGTGCTTAACCTGAGAAAGTAATTATTTTGACTCAATGGAGATATGGTGACTTTTTTTTTAAGAAGCACACTCATACTTTAAAAAGCTTACTCTTTTTTTTTTTTTTAAGATTTTATTTATTTATTTGACAGAGACATAGCGAGAGAGGGAACACAAACAGAGGGAGTGGGAGAGGGAGAAGCAGGCCTCCTGCCGAGCAGGGAGCCTGATGCGGGGCTTGATCCCAGGACCCTGGGATCGTGACCTGAGCCGAAGGCAGATGCTTAACGACTGAGCCACCCAGGTGCCCCTAAAAAGCTTACTCTTAATATTTGCTAATCATTATCAGTTACTTGTGGTTTCTATTTCACTTTTTTTCAATTTTGTGAGTTGGATTTATTTCACATTTATAATTTGGTGTGTTTGGGTATCTTTTAGCTTTTGGTACTTATGCAAAAGAATAAGAATTCTAAAACCATTTTAGGTAAAAATAATTAATTCATACTTTACTTATGTTCTGTGATCCTCTTTGAAGACATAATTTTATTCTTTTAAGATTAACTTAAATCTAAGATCACTTTCAAGCATAGAGGGGCACAAGTCCTTGGACCACAGGGATGATGATGAGAATACTGCCATTAAATCCTTAAGAAGAGGAGAAGATATACTTTTCCTCAGAAAATTTTAGAGAAGTTGAGGTGGTGGTGGCCTTTGGAGCAAGGATTTTTTTGGTTAATACTTCAGAACCTACTAGGATAATACAATCTACTGGTTGGCACTTCTGACTGAAACAAGCCTATATAATTACTAGTTAATTTTTTTTCCTTTTGCAAGTGTAACTATTTGTTTTTTCCTTTCTTTTAGCATAATTCTCCATCTAGTGATGATAGTTCAGACTACAGCCTTGATTCAGATGTCGAACATACAGAAAGTTCCCACAAAAAAAGAGCTAGTTTCTACAGGGATTATGACATTCCATTTTCTCAGGTATTGCCTTTTTAAAACAATTGTGATCAAATATACACAGCATAAAATTTGCCATTTTAACCATTTTTCAACATACAATTCAGTGGCATTAAGTATATTCACAGTGTTGTGCAACCATCACCACTATCCTTTTCCAGAATTTTTCATCATCCCAAACAGAACCTGTGTACCCATTAAATGATAACACCTCACTTCCCCCTCCCCACCAGCCCCTGGTAACCACTATTCTACTTTGTCTCTATGAATTTGCCTATTCTATAGGCATATAGGTGGAATAATACTGTATTTGTCTTTTTCTGTCTAGCTTATTTCATTTATCATAATTTTTTGAAGGTTCATCTAGCATGTATCAGAGTTTCATTCGTTTTTAAGGCTGGATAATATTCCATTGTATGTATATACCATATTTTGTATATTCCTCTGTTGTTGGACAGATGGATTGCTTCCACCATTTGGCTATTGTGATAATGCTGCTTATGAACATGGGTGGGTAATATTTCTTTGAGACCCTGCTTTCAGTTCCTTGTAATATATACCTAAGAGTGGAATTGCTGGATCAGATAGTAATTCTGTGTTTAATTTTCTGAGGAACTGCCAAAATGGTTCCCATAATGGCTGCACCATTTTACATTCCCACCACAATACATGAGGTTTTCCAGTTTCTCCACATCCTTGCCAAACTTGTTATTTTCTGGGGCTTTTTTGCTTTATTTTGCTTTGGGTTTTATTATTATTTTTTTTTATAATAGCCTTCCTAATATGTGTGAAATGACCTCTCACTGTGGTTTTGAGGTATTGCCTTTTTTTTTTTTTTTAAGATTTTATTTATTTGAGAGAGTGAGAGAGCACAAGCGGGGCAGGGGGGAAGGGTAGAGGGAGAAGCAGACTCCCCAGTGAGCAGGGAGCCAACTTGGGACTGATCCCAGGACCTGAGCTGAAGGCAGATGCTTAACTGACTGAGCCACCCAGGCACCCCTGAGGTATTGCCTTTTAAGGGGAAAAATGAAATTTTCAGTTTTATTCTTTGCCTTCTGATATTTTGAAAAAATGTTTTATATTTTTCAATATAGAAAAAGAGACATGCAGATGTATGCTATAAATTTTAAATCTTTGAAAATCATACATCATATATTAGATTGCTAGGGCTATCATAACAAAATACTACAGACTAGTGGTTTAAACAACAAAGGTTTATTTTCTAGTAGTCTGGAGGCTATAAGTGCAGATCAAGATGCCAGCAGGGTTGGTAGCCTCTGAGGACCATAAGGGAAAGATCTGTTTAGCCCTTTCTCCCTGGCTTGTAGCTGGCTACTGTCTTGCTGCTTTGTCCTCAAATGGTCATTCTGCTATGCATGTACACCCGCAGGGTCTCTCTGTGTGTCCAAATTTCCTCTTATAAGGACATCAGTCAGATTAGATCAAGGCCCACCCTAGCGACCTCATTTTAACTTAATTACCTCTTTAAAGGCCCTATCTCCAAATACAGTCACATTCTGAGGTATTGGGGGTTAGGGCTTTCACATATGAATTTTGTGACATCTACCTCTTTAAGTGCAAAAAATTATTTGAAGTGTTTTAAATAGAAAAAAAATTAAAAGAACATGATATACTTTATATCTTTCTCGGGCATGTTGCACTGTATGAACAGTCTGCAGTGTAAATAGTCTTTTGTGCTAGAAAAATCTTGATGCTCTCAGGAACACTGGGGAGTATTCAGATCAGTGTGCACCTATCTGAAAAACCACAGACTTTCTGAGTTCTGGTTTCTGCCAGTCTGTCAATATGCTTGTCTACAGAGTTCTATTCTTTTTCCTAATTTGATGTTCCTAATCTCTTATGAGCTTAGAAAACAAAATACTCTGTGTGTTAGAGTTCTTTCATTGCCTTCTGTTTCTCTATTGCCTTCTTTATAGCTGAAGTTGCTCAGTAAGTAATTATTGAATAAATGAAGTTTATTATAATATCTTCTATTAAAATTTGAAAAGAATTATACTCTAGTTAATAATTTTGTCGAGTTAAGTGAACGTATCTGTATATTCAGTGTGTCTGCTGATTTTGGAGTAAATGGAGCTGCCATTTCTCAGAACACTAACAGTTATTCATTACTAATGACAAAATTTTTAAATATATCAAACACTGATACCTAAATTTCATAATTTGCAGGTAGATTTATGTTTTAGAAATAATCAAAAGTTGTTTAGAGACTATTCCAAACAATGAAAAAATGCTCAGAATGATCGTTACTGTTTCAGATAGCAAAGCATTTGAAAATATCAAATAATGAGATTTATAAAAGCTCTTGATTCATAAGCTGTCACTAAAAGTTATTCCAGAAAAGGAGGTAAACAATATTTTAAAACAGTGGCAGAAGTATTTTAATAAATATACAGCCTTCTATGGGGGCTACTCTGAAGGACAAAATAAATTTGTATGGGGGCGCCTGGGTGTCTCAGTCGGTTAAGCGACTGCCTTTGGCTCAGGTCATGATCCTGGAGTCCCTGGATCGAGTCCCGCATCGGGCTCCCTGCTCGGCAGGGAGTCTGCTTCGTCCTCTGACCCTATCCCCTCTCAGGTGTTCTCTCTCTCTCGTTCTCTCTCTCTCAAATAAATAAATAAAATCTTTAAAAAAATAAAAATAAAAAATAAATTTGTATGTATAAACAACATTACATTTGTTTTAACTGACTCATATTTTCTTAAACATTATAATTATTTATTGTCATTAAACTATTATAGATCTCTAGAAATACAGTGTAATTATTTTTGTTTCAAAAATTCAGTTAAAGAAATTAAGAAAAGAAAAAGGATGATATTTTATATTTACCCACATTTCACTTCCAATGCTCTTGTTCCTTTGTGTAGATCTGAATTTCAATCTGGTGTCATTTTTTTTATTTATTTTATTATGTTAATCACCATACATTACATCATTAGTTTTTGATGTAGTGTTCCATGATTCATTGTTTGTGTATAACACCCAGTGCTCCTTTCAGTATGTGCCCTCTTTATTATTTTTTTTTCAATTTTATTTTATTATGTTATGTTAGTCACCATACAGTACATCATTAGTTTTTGATGTGGTGATCCACGCTTCATTGTTTTCGTCTAACACCCAGTGCTCCATGCAGTACGTGCCCTCCTTAATACCCATCACCGGGCTAACCCATCCCCCCACCCCCTCCCCTCTAAAACCCTGTTTGTTTCTCAGAGTTCATAGTCTCTCATGGTTCATCTCTCCCTCTGATTTTCCCCCCTTCATTTTTCCCTTCCTTCTCCTAATGTCCCCCATGCTATTCCTTATTTTCCACAAATAAGTGAAACCATATGATAATTGACTTTCTCTGCTTGACTTATTTCACTTAGCATAATCTCCTCCAGTCCCATCCATGTTGATTTAAAAGTTGGGTATTCATCCTTTCTGATGGCTAAGTGATATTCCATTGTATGTATGAACCACATCTTCTTTATCCATTCATCTGTGGAAGGGCATCTCGTCTCTTTCCACAGTTGGGCTATTGCGGACATTGCTGCTATGAACATTGGGGTGCATATGACCCTTCTTTTCACTACATCTGTGTCTTTGGGGTAAATACCCAGTAGTGCAATGGCTGGGTCATAGGGTGGCTCTATTTTTAATTTTTTGAGGCACCTCCACACTGTTTTCCAAAGTGGCTGTACCAACTTGCATTCCCACCAACAGTGTAAGAGGGTTCCCCTTTCTCACAACCTCTCTAACATTTGTTGTTTCTTGCCCTGTCCATTTTTGCCATTCTAACTGGTGTAAGGTGGTATCTCAATGTGGTTTTAATTTGAATTTCCCTGATGGCTAATGATGGTGAACGTTTTTTCATGTGTCTGTTAGCCATTTGTATGTCTTCTTCAGAGAAGTGTCTGTTCATGTCTTCTGCCCATTTTTAAACTTGATTATTTGTTTTTTTGGGTGTTGAGTTTGAGAAGTTCTTTATAGATCTTGGATACCGGCCCTTTGTAGTATCATTTGCAAAAATCTTCTCCCATTCCGTGGGTTGCCTCTTTGTTTTGTTGACTGTTTCCTTTGCTGTGCAGAAGCTTTTTATCTTGATCAAGTCCCAGAAGTTCATTTTTGCTTTTGTTTCACTAGCTTTTGGAGATGTATCTTGAAAGAAGTTGCTGTGGCTGATGTAAAGAGGTTATTGCCTATATTCTCCTCTAGGATTTTGATGGATTCCTGTCTCACATTGAGGTCTTTCATCCATTTTGAGTTTATCTTTGTGTATGGTGTTAGAGAATGGTCGAGTTTCATTTTTCTGCATGTGGCTGTCCAATTTTCCCAGCACCGTTTATTGAAGAGACTGTCTTTTTTCCATTGGACATTCTTTCCTGCTTTGTCCAAGATTATTTGACCATAGAGCTGAGGGTCCATATCTGGGCTCTCTGTTCTGCTCCATTGGTCTATACGTCTGTTTTTGTGCCAGTACCATGCTGTCTTGATGGATCACTGCTTTGTAATATAGCTTGAAATCGGGCAACGTGTTGCCCCCAGCTTCTAAGTTCTAAGAATAGTGCAAAGAACTCCTGTATATCTCTCACCCAGATTCCCAGAATGTTAACATTTTACTGCATATGCTTTGTTTTCTCCTTTACCTTTCTTCTCTCCTCTTCTCTTTAGAGGGTCTAATTTGTCATTAAACCCATCTATTAAGTTCTTAATTCCAGTGTTTGTGTTTTTCAGATCTAGAAATTTGGTTTTTTTTTTTTCAAATCTTTAATTTTATAGTTCCCAGTTCACTGCTAAAACTCTCGTGTCTTTTTTTTTTTTTTTTAAGATTTATTTATTTGACAGAGAGAGACACAGCAAGAGAGGGAACATAAGCAGGGGGAGAGGGAGAAGCAGGCTTCCCGCCGAGCAGGGAGCCCGATGCTGGGCTCAATCCCAGGACCCTGGGATCATGACCTGAGCCAAAGGCAGACACTTAACAACTGAGCCACCCAGGCGCCCCTCTCATGTCATTTACTTGAAA